ACAGACGTAATTCCACAATATGTTTTGGGGGGTGAGGCCAGTAAAAATTTCAGACAGAGCTCACCTGATTTCCTGGCTGGAGTTGTACAAGATGCCAGCCTAACCTGCTTGTATCAGGGCTGAGGGGCTATGTCTGAGAGAGTAGTGAAGGTTCGGGTGCAGTGTATGTATTCACAGGAAGCTATTAAACATGCATTTTCCTGTCGGCTCCAGTCCCACCAGAACAATTGATCTGCTGCCATTCTACATAGAGAAGCAACAGAGACCCAGTGATGACATGACCCAGGTCTAAATTAAGGTATTAATGAAATGCTCATTTACCAACTCCTAGTTTTCAGACTCTCTATTGCCCAGTGCTGATAAAGGTGGAGCCAATGGCGGGGTTTAGCGACAGGGGACCACAGACACTCAAGATGGAAACCATGGGCCCCTGGGAGCAATGGTGGGATCATCGGGCCAGTTAACTGCCGTAGATCCATGCTGTCCTTCACATTCTGTCACAGAACTACATCCAGTATTCAGACTGAAGAAATACGAACAATAAGAAAAAAAAAGATCCCACTGCCTCAGAAAACATCCGCCTTTCGCCTCAAGCAATGCGCTGCCCTTAGGCGTGAGGGTTTCGCTGGGAGCTCCTGGTATAGACCGGGCAGGCCGTCAAATTGTAAAGGTATTGTGTGGTAGCCGACAGGCCAGTATCTGTGACAGATATTACGATGCATTTTATTCAAACACATTCCAGGGCACAACACTTCTATGGATCCTCAGAGGACTCCTTCAAAAAGTTTGCGGCGTGTCGCGGAACCTCCCTGTGATACCGAGGTAGGACTGACATCAGAACAAAGCAAGGCGCTTACAACCAGGAAGTGATTTTTTGCAGTTTATTGCGCACAAACTGGGATCAGCTTAAAGGGGTAACTTCCACCTTCACCAAAAGTGCAGTTGATGTCATTTTGAAGTTCTACGCACTCTGAAATGATTTTTTGTGTACGTTTACACAGGCTAAATGTATAAATTCATCAGATTATATTTTTAAGTAAGTTGGTGAAAAAGCGACTGAAGCCACTGCCTGACTCAAAGCAGAACTGGTGGGGAGATGTTAAATATGACCTCCCGACCTCCCCTTCAGTCTTGCACAGCCCGTACCGGCTATCCTCCCACTTCAGTCTCTTGGTCACATGCGATGTACCGGCTGGTCACCTTCAACTTGCACAGTAGTCCGCTCCTCCCCTTCAGTCTTGCACAGGTTGTACCGGCTTCCTCCCCTGATCAGTCCCTTGCACAGGTGGTACCAGAGCTGCCTCCCCTTCAGTCTTGCACAGCTGTATCTCGGGGACTCCTCCCCCTTCTGGCATTGTGCAACAGTCCTTACACGTTCTCCTCCCGCTTACAGGCTTGCACAGGACGTTACACGGCTCCTCCTCCCCTTCATTCTTGTTCAGGTGTACCTGCTCCTTCCCTTAGCCTTAGCAAACTGAGTGTACTCGGCAGGCTTAACCCTTGCAGTGCTTGCACAGATCTGTTATCGGCTCCTCCCTACTACAGTCTTGCACCAAATCTATTGGCTTGTTCCCTTTCAGTGCACTTGCAACCACATTGATACCGGCGTCCTACATTACATCGAGCCATTAGGGGTACTGACCTCAGTGTCCCCTAAAATAGAGGGGGGAAACAATACATGTAAACAGACAGCAACTACAAAACTTAGTCTTGCAGCGAGTTGTTCGACTCCTCCCCTTCATCTATCGGAGCTTACCAGAGTGCTACCGGAGGGTCCCCTTCACAGTGTTACACAGGAGAACCTGCTCCTCCCCTTGGGGATGTGCAGAGGTAGGGAATGAACCGAGAACGCTCCACCTTAAGTGTTGTACAGGTGGGGTACCGGCCTCCTCCCCTGAAGTAGGTGCAGGGTTGTCTACCAGGAGCTGCCTCGAAGGGTGAAGGAGGGAAGTCGCAGACAGTCTGATGGATTGGGGCATTGAGTCCAGTGGATGGGGGAGACACACTGGATGACAAAACGTTTGCAGATGTGCGGGGACCCAATGAGACTCCGGGAGCCAAGATAGGACAGACCAGCAACGCCCCCCTGACCCGAAGGACGCGTAAGACTGCAGATACCGCCCTTTTTGACGCATGTTCCACCGATACTAGACTTCTGCTTTAATCCCAAAAAACTTGGGGCAAAGGCTTTTTGCACCTTGCGTGAGAGGGGTCCCGCATGGGTTTCATATATTGGACCCGGGGCTAAACAGGTACCAAGAAAAGAATGAATGGATGTGTATGTGTCATCCATACGTAACGTATAAGCTAATATTCCCCCATAGTAAGCATAGGTAAAGACATCCCCCATAGTAATTTCATCATCCCGCACTATAGTAATTCAAGCCCCCATGATAGTAATTCATCCCATGCAACCGCTGAATTCATGCCCCCACCGATAGACATAATTTCAATGCCCAGCCCCATAGCTCTAAGTTACTCATGCCTACCCATAATACCCTAATTCATCCCCATTTATAGTTAATTCACCCCCATGAAATACCGTAATTCATCTCCTTCCAAGTATAGTACAGATTCTGTACCGGGCACCTCATAGTAAGTCATTCCCCAGTAGTAATTCATCCTCCCATATCAGTAATTGTCATACCCCCAGTAAATAGTACCGCTCATCCCCTTCAGTATAGTACAGTTGTATCCGGCCCATCATAATTCACATCCTTGCATATATGTAATATCATCCTCCCATATAATTCATCCCCAGGTATATAGTAATTCATCCCCATATAGTAAGAATTCAATCCCCCATAGGGGGGGGGGGGGGGGGGGTAATGGGGTTCATCCCCTTCAGTCTTGCACAGTATACTGTAATTCATCCCCATCACGTCCTTGCACAGGTGTACCGCCTCCCCCATTCAGACCTTGCACATCTGTACCGCTCCTCCCCTTCAGTCTTGCACAGGTGTATCCAGCCTCCTCCCCTTCAGTCTTGGCACAGTGTGTAATCCAAGCTCCTCCCCTTCGAGCTCTTGCAGAGTTTGACTACCTGCTCCTCCCCTTCAGTCTTAGGCACAGGTGTACAGGCGCTCCTCCCCTTCAGTCCTTGGCACAAGTTACCGTACCGCTCCTCTCCTGGACTGAAACAACTTACTGTGATTTCCCCCGCACACTGTGAGCGCCTCACCATTGTGCATTAGAAGCTGCAGCAAGTCAGATAGAGCAAGCCGCCTCATTTCCTGGCTGAGAGACATCCAGCTAGATCCTGCCCCTTCCCTCCCCAGCCTGACTATCGCCGGGCCCCCCGCCCCTTTCATGCTCTGGATCATTTCAGTTCTTTCAATTATGGAGGCTCAGCATCACAGGTGGGCGTTACCTAGGAACACCAACTCCTCCAGACAGACGCCCGCTCATCAGGGCATTTGGATATTTGCACAACCCCTCCCAATAGCCGGCCACTGCTTGCTTTAGGGTTGAGGGCCCTTGAGGTGGTACTGAGATGTTTTTCAGGCAGCTCTGTACAGCATCCTTCTGGCCCCTCCCACCAGCCACGATCTGACTGCATTGAATAGAGAATTACAGAGACCCAGTGATGATGTCACCGGGTCTAAAACGAGGGGTGTAATGACAATGTAAACGTTTTATCTCATAGTTTAATTAGTGTGTTGATGAGGGAGGAAAGGAGGAACCAGGGAAGGCAAAATATAAGCAGATTAACTGCTTCCGCGCCCCCCTATACCAGAAATACTGTTACAGGGCGGCACGGGTGCGCAAAAACAAAAAGTCACATATATAATATACGTGATTTTGTAGGGGGCGCTCGCCATTCGTGGCCTCAACTGTCAATCACAGGGTCTTGGCCGGTTATTCCCCACCAGCACCCAGCGATCTCCAAGGATTTCCAACGGGGAAGAGACCTGTCTGTAAACAACACAGATCTCTCCCCTGTCAGCTCCTGCACACTGCATAGCAGAGCCATACAAAGCAGCATGCTTACAGTGAAAAACACACAGCACACAGTTAACCCTTTGATCCCCCCACATGTTTAACCCCTTCCTGCCCAGTGCCATTAGTACACTGTCAGTGCTTTTTATTAGCACTGATCACTGTATTGGTGTCACTGGGGATGTCAGTGACACCAAGTCAGTTCTCCCCCCCCAGTGTCAGAATGCCCGCCGCAGTCCCAAAGATAAGTCGCTGATCGCAGCGCCATTACTAGTAAAAAAAAATCCCATTATCTATACCGCCATTTGTAGACGCTAATAACTTTCACGTAAACCAATTAATTTACACGTTTTGGGATTTCTTTTAGCAAAGACACGAGGAGCAGAATACATTTTGGCCGAAATTTATGACGAAATTTGATTTTTAAAATTTTTTTTCTACTGGACATGTTTTAATAGAAAAAAGTCAAAAATATTGTTTTTTTTTCAACATTTTCAGTCTTTTTTTGTTTATTAGCGCAAAAAACAAAAAAACAAAAAAAAAAAAAAAAAACAGCACAGAGGTGATCAAATACCATCGAAAGAAAGCTCTATTTGTGGGAAAAAAATTACGTAAATTTAATTTGGGTGCAGCGTTGCATGACCCAGATAACCGCGCAATTGTCAGTTTTAGTAACGCAACGTTATATCGCAAAAAATGGTCTGTTCAAGAAAGGGGGGGGGGGAATCCTCTGGAGGGCGAGGGGTTAACTCATTCCCCACCCGGCCTATTGTACAATGACAGCCTGGAGGGAACCCTGCTATCCTGGGAGGACTTCATATGACGATCCGTCACCATCTGTGTCCACGGGACATGGCAGATGACAGTTCACAACACCGGCCCACTACCAGTGTCATGTGATCACTGTGACCAATCACAGCAGATCACACGACAGTCGAAAACAATGAATGGCTTCCTTTCATGCCATTTATTGATTACAACTGTGCTGCGAGCTGTGATTGGTCACAGTGATCACATGTACAGGCTGGGCCAATCACAGCCCATCTGTAGCTTGTGTTCAGCTATGGCCAATCACAGCTGATCAGGGGCGGACTGACAACTCATGGGGCCCCTGGGCAATAGGGGATCATGGGGCCCCTGTATCCTTGCCCAAACTCAAAAAAGCCTATGAAAAAGGTACCAGGGGCATCATCATGGGGCTCCCTACTGACCTCGGGCCCTTGGGCAGTACCCGAGTTTCCAAATGGTCAATCCGCCCCTGCAGCTGATCACAACAAAAACTACTAAATTAATCAGTTTCATTCAGTAAAAATGCTTGCTTACACCAATGAAATTTGTTGTTATAAGCAATCATGACATGTAAAAAAAAAAAAAATTCCCGATCACTTGCCCAGAGTAGTACAATGTTACTATGGTACTATGGTAACATTCTATTGCTCTGGTCACTGGAGTAGAAAAAAATAATTTATAAAATAATTATAAAAATAATAATAAAGAAAATAACAATTTCTAAAAAAATTTAATACTTTAAAAAAAAAAAAAAAATGAAAAAAAAAAAATAAATTAAAACAAAAAAAAAAGATTATTTTTTTTAAAAAACTGTTGCGAGTCAGTGTCCCTGATTGGTGACAGTATATGAAAAAAAAAAAAAAGTCTTCATTTTCCACAAATTTATGACAAAAAATGACAACTTCAAAAAACTCGCCATGCCTCTTACTAAACACTCAGACTGTCTACTTTCCAAAAAGAGGTCATTTGGGGATTTTTGTCCTGTTCTGGCGTTTTTTGGGCCTCAAGAAATGAGATCGGCCGTCAGTACATCAGGATTGATCGATTTTCAGATCTATCCCATAGTTTGTGGACTCTATAACATTTCCTACAAACTAAATCATAAACACTGTTTTTGGGTTATTTTCACCAAAGAAATGGAGCAGAATACATAGTGGCCAAAATTAGTGCAGAAAGATTATTTCATTGCAAAATGTTAAACAGAAACGAAGAGAAACGCATTTTTTTCTTCAAAATGTTCCGTCTTTTTTTGTTTATGGCACAAAAAAATGTCAAAACTTCGAGTGATGATTACATACCGGGCAGAAGAAATCGCAGTTTGTGGGGGGAAAAATGATAACTTTAGCCTTCAGTTTTCAGACAGTATTCCTGCACATTCCTGTCCTCACCATCCCTATTGGACCCCCCCCCCCCCCCCTTTACATTGCAATCCTCAGCCCCCCTGCACATTCCTGTCCTCACCATCCCTATTGGACCCCCCCCCCCCTTTACATTGCAATCCTCAGCCCCCCTGCACATTCCTGTCCTCACCATCCCTATTGGACCCCCCCCCCCCCCCCCTTTACATTGCAATCCTCAGCCCCCCTGCACATTCCTGTCCTCACCATCCCTATTGGACCCCCCCCCCCCACTTTACATTGAAATCCTCACCCCCCTGCACATTCCTGTCCTCACCATCCCTATTGGACCCCCCCCCCCTTACATTGCAATTCTCACCCCCCCTGCACATTCCTGTCCTCACTATCCATATCCCCCCCATTTACATTGTAATCCTCAGCCCCCCCCTGCACATTCCTGTCCTGTCCCCCTATTTATAGCACCCCCCCCTTCACATTGCAGTCCCCAGCCCCCCTTCACATTCCTGTCCTCACCCCTTTATAGCAACCCCCTTCATTCCTGTCCTCCCCCTTTAAGGAGCACCCCCCCCCCCCCTCCCCCTTCACATTGCAATCCTCAGCCCACCTGCACTTCCTGTCCTCACACATTTAAAGAACCCCCCCCCATAACATTTCTGTCCTCACCCCTTTATAGCACCCTCCTTCACATTGCAGTCTCCTGCTCCCCTTCACATTCCTGTCCTCACCCCTTTATAGCAACTCCCTTCATTCCTGTCCTCCCCCCTTTAAAGGACCCCCCCTTCACATTGCAATCCTCAGCCACCCCTTCACATCCTGTCCTAACCCCCCCTCTATAGAACCCCTCCTTCACATTGCAGTCCCCAACCCCTTTTCACATACCTGTCCTCATCCCCTTTATAACCCCTCCTCTTCACAATGAAACCCTCAGCCCCCCTGCATATTTCTGTTCACACGCCCTTTATAGCACCCCTCCTTCACATTGCAATCCTCAGCCCCCCCCCCCCCACACACACATACACAACAATTCCCCCCCCCCCCCACACACACACACATTCCCTGTCCTCAGGTCCCTTTATAGCACCCCTCCTTCACATTGCAGTCCCCCAGCCCCCTTCACATTTATTCCTGTCCTCACCCCCTTTACAGCACCCCCTCCTTCACACTGCAGTCCCCAGCCCCCCTTCACATTCCTGTCCTCACCCCCCTTTATAGCACCCCCCTCCTTCACATTGCAGTCCCCAGCCCCCCTTCACATTCCTGTCCCTCACCCCCCCCTTTATAGCACCCTCCTTCACATTGCAGTCCCCAGCCCCCCCTTCACATTCCGATGTAGTCCTCACCCCCTTCATAGCACCCCTCCTTCACACTGCAGTCCCCAGCCCCCCCACCCCCCTTCACATTCCTGTCCTCACCCCCTTCATATCAGCACCCCTCCTTCACATTGCAGTCCCAAACCCCCCTTCACATTCCTGTCCTCCTGTCCCCCTTCATAGCACCCCTCCTTCACATTGCAGTCCCCAGCCCCCCTTCACATTCCTGTCCTCACCCCCTTCATAGCACCCCTCCTTTACATTGCAGTCCCCAGCCCCCCTTCACACCTTCCTGTTCTCTCACCCCCTTCATTAGCACCCAACCCCCTCCTTCATCACATTGCAGTCCCAAACCCCCCTTCACATTCCTGTCCTCACCCTCTTCATAGCACCCCTCCTTCACATTGCAGTCCCCAGCCCCCCCATCACATTCCTGTCCTCACCCCCTTCATAGCACCCCTCCTTCACATTGCAGTCCCCAGCCCCCCTTCACATTCCTGTCCTCACCCCCTTTATAGCACCCCTCCTTTACATTGCAGTCCCCAGCCCCCCTTCACATTCCTGTCCTCACTCCCTTTATAGCACCCCTCCTTACATTGCAGTCCCCAGCCCCCCTTCACATTCCTGTCCTCACCCCCTTCATAGCACCCTTCCTTTACATTGCAGTCCCCAGCCCCCTTCACATTCCTGTCCTCATCCACTTCATAGCACCCCTCCTTCACATTGCAGTCCCCATCCCCCTTCACATTCCCTGTCCTCACCCCCTTCATAGCATAGCACCCCTCCTTCACATTGCAGTCCCCAGCCCCCCATCACATTCCTGTCCTCAGTCACCCCCTTCATAGCACCCCTCCTTCACATTGCAGTCCCCAGCCCCCCCCTTCACATTCCTGTCCTCACCCCCTTCATAGCACCCCTCCTTCACATTGCAGTCCCCCAGCCCCCCTTCACATTCCCTGTCCTCACCCCCTTCATAGCACCCCTCCTTCACATTGCAGTCCTGAGCCGCCCCTCCACATTCCTGTCCTCACCCCTTTCATAGCACCCCCCTCCTTCACATTGCAGTCCCCAGCCCCCCCTTAATATTCCTGTCCTCTGCTAGATTGTTAAGTTTGTTACCAAGGAGCAGGGCCCTCGAACCCCTCGTGTATTGCATTGTATTGTTACTGTACTGTCGCACGTTCTTCCTGTCCCCCATTGTAATGTAACAGCGCTGAGCGAACTGCTGGAGCTTTATAAAATACTGTATAATAATAATAATAATCCCCTTTATAGTACCATTCCTTCACACTGCGTTGCCCAGCAAGGTGAGAGGATGCAGCCACGGGGCTGATCTGTGTCAGACATTTGTGAACACCAGGTTGTTGGATGAGCGTGGCATTTGAATCCCAGGTGTTGGATGAGCGTGGCATTTGAATCCCAGGTGTTGGATGAGCGTGGCATCTCAGTCCAGGAAGTAGATAATGGCCCTGGATGATGCCTGAGCAAAGATGATGCCGTCCTTCTGGAGAGAACAGCATATGAAAGGCACAGTCAGGGAAGTCAGGCAGCCTCTGTGAGAGTGTTGCACTGCCACTCACTAAACATGAAATAATGAATCTGATGGCGGTTCACTTTAAGATCAGAGCTGCGAGGTTGCCAAGGATGAGAGAACATGCGACTGGCTCTGCGTTTGTCAGTTACCCTGTTTGGCCAGTAGATGTCTCTCTTGTGCCTTGTAAGATTGCTGCTATTGATTTCCTTGCTTGGCACACAGACAGGACAGAGGAGACAGTGCAGGATTCTGCCTGCTGTCAGCTGCCCCTTCCACTCATCAATGTGTTATACAGGGAAATAACACGGCCTAGGCAGAGCAAAGCCTGCGTCAATCTCCACTTCAGCATGGACGCCCCGCCGCACTTGCCGCGACTTCTGACTATTTATGTGAAAACACAAAGCCGCTGCATACTCCATGCGTGTGCCTGGACTGCCGGGCCCTTCACACCTATGCTTTGTTACACATCATGGCAACACAAGGGCCATACCATGGAAAATACAGTGTCAAATATCAGTGCATGACCTTATGGTCAGAGACTGCAGACATAGTACAGGAGATGGTCAGAGACTGCAGACATACTACAGGAGATGGTCAGAGACTGCAGACATAGTACAGGAGATGGTCAGAGACTTCAGACATAGTACAGGAGATGGTCAGAGACTGCAGACATACTACAGGAGATGGTCAGAGACTGCAGAATACTAGACTACATAGATATCCAGGAATGGTCAGGGACTGCAGAAATAGTACAGGAGATGGTCAGAGACTGCAACACAGTACAGGAGATGGTCAGAGACTGCAGACATACTAGAGGAGATGGTCAGGGACTGCAGACAATTACAGGAGATGGTCAGAGACTGCAAACATACTACAGGAGATGGTCAGAGACTGCAGATATGATACAGGAGATGGTCAGAGACTGCAGATATACTACAGGAGATGGTCAGAGATTGCAGACATGATACAGGAGATGGTCAGAGACTGCAGACATACTATAGGAGATGGTCAGAGACTGCAGACTTGATACAGGAGATGGTCAGAGACTGCAGACATACTAGAGGAGATGGTCAGAGACTGCAGACATGATACAGGAGATGGTCAGAGACTGCAGATATATTACAGGAGACAGTCAGAGACTGCAGGCATACTACAGGAGATGACCAGAGACTACAGCCATAGTACAGGAGATGGTCAGAGACTGCAGACATACTACAGGAGATGGTCAGAGACTGCAGACATACTATAGGAGATGGTCAGGGATTGCAG